CACAGACTCAGTAATCATGAAAATCGGTCCAAAACAGAAATAATATAACATATCAACAAGGAATAACAGAGACGGAGGTAAGATATGCAAGTAAGATTACGACTGAGTACAAGTATCAATTAACAAGTAATTCAACTGGTATCACGGCCTCTGTGGGTCCCTCCAGTACTAACACATAGCCTAAACATGATTTAGAATCAAATTTCTATAACACATGGTGAGCATATAGCTAACAATAAGTTATTCAACTTTACAGTTCCACAGAATGGACCAAGTCACAATTCTCATGGTGCACGACCACGCGCCCGTCACCTAACATGTGTGTCACCTCCAAAACAATCACATAACACATAATCTAGGGTTTGTACCCTCAGAACCATATTTAGAACTGTTACTTACCTCAATCCAAGCCAAAACTCTACTCCAATACGCCTTTGGCTCGTAAATTGGCCTCCAAATATCCCTAATCTAGCCACAAGAAGTATAATACAATTAATACGGACTAAAGGAATCAATTCTATAAGAAATTACGAAGTTATAGCTCTAAATCCGAAATCGGCTCAAACCCGGCCAACGGGACCACGTTTCGAAGTCTGACAAAAGTTACAAAATCCGAAAGTCCATCCAACCATGAGTCTAACCTTACCAAATTTGCTCAAAGCCAATAACAAAATTCCATTCAAAACCTCAAAAATCTAGCCCAAGAACTCTTCCTCATTCTCCCCAATATTCCACCCTAAATCACAAATTTAATGGTAGAATCAAAGGTATAATCATGGAAATTAACCAAATCTAGATAGAAATCACTTACCCCAAACATCCACGTGAAAATCCCTTCAAAAATCACCTTCTACCGAGCTCTCAATTCAATTTTGTGATATGAACTCGAAACCCTCATTTTGAATCTTTTAAACCTGCCCAGTTAAGCCTTCATCGCGAACGCGGAAGAATCCTTGCGTTCGCATAGAACAACTTAGACTGCCCCTTAAATTTACTCTACACGAATGCGGTGACCTTCCCGCCATCGCGGACCTCTGCCTCTTTCAATCTATGTGATCGCGTCTCACATCACGCGATCGCGAAGCACAAACATTAGAAAGCCAACTGCCATCCTCATATCTTCACGAACACGGCATAGCCCACGCGTTCGTGACTCACAGCCTAGCCACACCTACGCGATCGCGAACCCGCCCACGTGATCGCATAAGAGGAAACCAAATCAGAGACACCAGAAAACTTCAGCTAACAAGCTAAGTGCAAAAATGATTTGCTACCACCTGAAACTCACTCGAGGCTCTCGAGACCTCAACCAAACATACCATCAAGTCCCAAAATATCATACGAACTTAGTCGAACCCTCAAATCACCTCAAACAAAATAAAAAATACGAATTGCACATGGATCCAAGCCTAATGAACTTTGAAATTTCCAAATTCTACAAACGACACTGAAACCTATCAAATCACGTCCGATTGACCTCAAATTTTGTACACAAATCACAAATGACACAACAGACCTACTCTAAACTGGCTCGTTACAAAATCGAGCTATTTTTTCTTTTTGCATTTTGTATAACTATCGTAATTTATATTAGTATAAATTAAAAGTATAAAAAAAATCTTATGAAAAGAGTGTTTGAATAAATGATGCAAAGGATTTAAAATCCTTATATTTGAAATTTTGAATATTTCATTAAGAATGTAAGATAATAGAATACAATGAAGATGGAAAAAAATTGCACTTATAATTTGCAAGTGCTTTTTTTATTTCAAACTTACAAATTAAAGTTTACATTTAACAACAAGTAAATTAATGAAACAAGAGTAAATTCAAAGGTTTTGCATTGTCTTAGTAAGTTATTCATAATCAATATGAACTTCTTGGCCATCTTCTGGAGTGTTAAATTCAGATAGGTTACCATGTGTTAATATATCTCCAAGTTCCTCGTCTTTTGGTCTATCAACATCTTCACGTCCCTGATTTCTTCGTTCCGATCTAATCCAATCTCTGAAATATACTAAAACTTCTAAGGCATTGCTTCTCAATGAGTGACGGGTGTCTCCTAGTTATTGTCTTGCTTGACTAAATGCACTCTCTGATGCAACAATTGAAATTGGCACAGCACGTCCCGAGCCATAGCGGAAAGAATAGGAAATTGCTTTTCATTCTCATTCCACCATCCTAACGGTGAAAATTCATTTGTGCGAGGCTCTTTTTGCTTTTGCAAGTAGAATTGAAGTTCATCAATGTTCCTGCTACTGGTTTGAGTGGTAGAAAATGTAGAACAAATATTAAAACCATCAAGGCCTTCATCATCATCCATAGTAGTAGATGTAGTAGAAGTGGTACAATGCATAGTGGGATTAACATTGCCTACATTAAGAGCAACATCATCAACTATATTTGCATAATAATTATATTATTGATGTAAATAATCATTTAGCTTGTTCATACAACAATATATATATCTAGGGTTTCAGTTGGTCCAATCTCAATATAAGTATATAAAGCATTAATTAATTGGTGATAATCAGACATCTTAATAGAAAGATTTAAAATAGTACCAATTAAGTAAATCAGAGGAATTGGAATGAAATATTTTTTGAATTTTGCTTGCATTTTTTCAACAACATCCTTATATTTTTCTTTCTTCTTAAATTCAGAGAGTAGAAAAGAAATTTCAGCTATATATACTAAAGCCATAGTAACAGTAGGGTAATATGCTCCAGAAAACTCAACAGTAGCTGTATAAAATTTATGTAAAAATTTAACAACATCATTAATGGCCTCCCAAGTAGTAGTTGTTAACATACGGTTTGGATCAGTACAATGTGCATTAGTAACTTCAGTTATTGACAATCTATATTTGTAGCAACATTTTAAAAATAAGTATGTATAATTCCATCTAGTAACAATTTTGTCTGGCATGAATATGAGGTTAAGGTTATGCTCGGTACACTTATTCTTAAATTTTCTAATTCAAGATTGTCTATTATTTCCTTGAATAACACCAACTGCTCTTTTAACATGAGTAATCATAGTTGAAAATAAATCAAGGCCACTTATAACATAAACATGACATGCACACCTAACATGAAAATTTTCGTCAAGTGGTGATTGCAAATACAGTCTTAATATTGAAATTGCGGCATTATTGTTAGAAGCATTATCAAAAAACATACACAATACTTTTTTCTTAAGATTATAAAATTCAACAACTTTGTAAATAGTAGTACTTATAAACATAGCAATATGACTTTGATCTTCATCAGATTTAAAGCGATAATACGTTTTTGCATACAATAATTATTATATATCCAATGACATGTAATTGTCAAATAATCATTTTCATTAACAACATGGCCAATATCAGAAGCTAGAAAAACTCTACAAGGAATGTGGTCAAACAAATAACGTATGTATGTCTGATATTGTCCATGAGGTCTAAAGATATCAAATCTACAAGTACTTCTAGGGATACCTTTAAATAAAGGATTATAAATCCTTTGAATATACATAATAAGATATGATGAAAAAGCAAAAGAAAAAAGGTAGACAATCCAAAACAATCATTTTTGCTAACTCCTCACGATCCTTCATTTTATCATATTTCATAAGTTCTCCAGTACTAGGGTTTAGAGTTTCTTGATTTTCATCTAAATCAGAGCCCCATTCTATAGGATGAGTAATTCTCATATGTTTACTAAGTGTCTCAGTCCCCCCTAATTGTCCTCCAGTCTTATGTTTAAAATCATCTTTATAAAGTTTGCATCTAACTCTATCAGTATTCTCTATTTTGACAAAAAAATTCCAAACCTTACTTCTTTTTCTCCGATTAGTAGTCGGGACCACAGGTGGTCTACTACTACCACCACGACCACCACCCTTGCTACCAACTCCAGCACTACTAGGTGTAAGTGGTGTCTCATCTTCAACTTCTAATTCATTATCTTCTTTACCGAATTTTCTTGTAATTGTTCATAATCTATATTATTATCAGGTGATGCTTCAGAAACATGTGTAAAATTATTTAAATTACTACTAGATGTTGAAGTAGTACCTCTTTTTCTATTTCCCCGATTAGCAACCTTATTACAAACTCTTTTTGCAGCATTAAACATATTGTGAAAATTTAACTACTAGCAAAAATTAAATATGCAAATAAAATAGTAATTAAGAGAAAGAGTTGGAGGGAGTGCACCGAATTCCGCAATATTGAACACTTGATGATTTTCGCAACTCTAATGTTACCACGAAGAACGTCAATTGTTCAAAGTTAGAAGTTCAATTGTTCAAACTTCAAATAATAAATAATACGATAAATTAAATTCAAAAAAAAAAAATAAGAGCCAAATAATTGATTGTAATTTAGGTGAAGAATGAGAGAATGATAATTGAGAATTTGAGTTTGAGAAATGATAGATGAGTGAAGAAATGAAGAAGAGAGGGGTGTATTTATAGTTTTTCAAAGGGCTAAATTAGTAATTACTAAAAGTGTTATCTTTTTAAAAAATTGCCCAAAAAAGGGCTATTCTTGCAATCAACCCGTTGGGCAACGACCAAATTTCAAGCTGACCGTTGCCAACGGTCATATCCCTTCTTTTTTTTTAAAACTGAAAATAGTCGTTGAACCGGTCCGGGCCGGTTAACCAATTCAATAGTATTTTTTATTTATCGAGTTTGACTATTCCAGTTAACCAAATTTATTTTTATATGGACCAACCCCCTAACCCAGCTCCCTAACTATTGGTCCGGGCTGGTCCGGTTACAACCGGTATGGTCCGATTCGGTAACGGATCTACCCGGCCCGTTAAGCAGGTATATTTGAAAGTTATATAAGTCAACAAGTCTTCTATACTATAGTATCGCTTTTCCAATTTTTTTGTTAAACAAAATTCAGCTTAATTCATGGTTTGCACGGAAAGTCAGCAAACGCAAGCGAGGGGTCGTTTTGTCATTTTTTATAAAATAGAAGAGACGCGTGCCACCGCCCTCGAGACACGTTCCACTTTGCATTTTCACTAACCCGAAAAGGCTCTTCGTTGAATCAGAAAGCTCTAGAAACCTCTCCAAAACCCTGAAGAATTTCCCTTTTTATTTCGCCTGAACCTCAAAACTAAACTTGTCATTTTGCTACTTCTCAATTTGCTTTTGCTTATTGGAAATCAGAAAACAATGGCAACGTTCGAGGAAGCACCAGCAGGTATTCCCAAAGCCGGAGAGAAAATCTTCAAAACCAAGTGCGCTCAGTGTCACACCGTCGATAAAGGCGCTGGTCACAAACAAGGTATTTTTCTGTTACACACAGAAACACAGTAAGATTGAGTGTATCGCTGTGTTTTTCTGCTGTTTCTTTACATGTATTATTATTTTCTGAGTTCCTATGGTGTTTTTGGTCCTTTTTTTAGTTCACCGCTTATCATTCATCATGGATCTGAATTTTCTGTGTAGTAGATTCACGTGTCGTACAATTATAGACTCGTTTCATCGTTAGTCGTTACTTTTATATATTACGAGTATTCTGTTTGCTTTAAATTTCGTTGAGTATATATCATGTTTGTTTTTGCATGAATTTTTGTTTGCTTTCCTGCGGAGCTTTTACTCTTTAGTTGATTTGCTGTTTCTTATTCATCGCGCGGATCTGCCTTTCTATAAGTGGATTCACTGACTTTCATGGAATTTAAAAGCAGTCACTAACTTTTAGATAGCGTCTGATGGTTCCTTGTGGATTTAACTTTTTGGTTTGGACTTTTGAGGTGGTGCGTATGTTTGTTTTGATTTTCAATAAATTTATACTGACTGCTAATGCAGCATTGTTATTGAGACATGACCTGTAGAATTAAGAATTAAACTGGTTAGGTAGTGAAAGGAGAGGTTGAGAGAGGGAGAAGAGGGAAGGAATTAACTCCATGAGAGAAAACCAGAAGAGTAAGTCATATGAGAGACTTTTATTTATTTTTTTGAGAAGGATCATATGGGAGACATTTTACATAGTAATTTTTTTTTGTTTCCGCAGCTGAGGATGCAATTAGTGAATATTCCTTGTCACAGTTTCCTTGAATGAGGTTCCAATGGAGTAAAATTCGAAGTGTAAATGTGTGTCTATCCATAGTTGGTATTGGTAAACCTGTCTATGTTACTTATCAGTGTGCTGTGCCGCTTTCCATGTGTATTTTTATTTGCTTCTAGATTACTTTTTAGAACTAATTTAAGGAGGTCGTGATAAATATGTCTATAATTTTTTTATTTTTTTATTTTTTTTGATAGGTAGGTACATATCGATAAGATACACAATTTTGGTTGATATCTGCTACATTTATTATAACGAAATGGTAAATCTGTAGTTGTTAGGAGTCAAAGGTGGATCAAGGTGCCACAATGTACTATTTGAGATGCATGTGCATGATTTTGCCTTATGGACATGGATATTATAATAAACTGCAGAATTCAGGGGAATTAGCAATTGAAAATTTATGCTATATTTTCCAAATTGCATTAGACTGTGTTTAAGGAATTTTATAATTTATGATTTTATATCATGTGTCCTGGAAACAGCCTCTCTGCCCCTCGGGTAGGGGTAAGGTCTACGTACATATTACCCTCCCCAGACCCCACTTGTGGGATTATACTGGGCCCGTTGTTGTTGATTTTATATTATGTGTACCTCTTATTTAGTTTGAAATATAGAAAGGGGAAAGAAAATAAAATAGTGGTATTGAGGTATGAAACTTGCTCTTTTAATTTCTCTCCTTCGTAAGGGTTGGGAAAGGATAGGCACGTGTCGGCTGCTATAATAGTTCACCCTTTTAACTAAAATTTAGCTGCGCTTGCAAGATTTTCGATCATCGTCAGGTGTACATCATTATGGAATTGTCTTCAACTGTTCGGATTGTGCATGTATGATAGTTCAGGTATTTCAGGAGGCATGGCAATCAATATTTGTGTGGATTCTGTTAAGCTTGTTCTTGAGATTTTCAATTTTCATCCTTCTCTGTCTCTGTCCATATTGTCCTCTTCCATTCTTCTGTATTCTACCATATGGTTGATGCTTGAGCACACAATTTACTTTATGCATTTCCCTCCTCCTGCATATAATTTTGCAGAAGAGGCGGCAATTAGTCTGCTTTGCACACATTCAAAGTTTTCTAACATGTCTAACTTTTTCCAGGGCCAAACTTGAACGGGCTCTTTGGAAGACAATCTGGTACAACTCCAGGTTACTCTTACTCTGCTGCAAATAAGAATATGGCTGTGATCTGGGGAGAGAACACATTATATGAATACTTGCTCAATCCGAAGAAGGTGAGGGTCATCTATGTTTGTGTATGACTTTTGTTTTGTAATGTGGTGACTGGTTTTAGTGCTTCACATATGTGTTCTTACCTGTATGTGTTCTCACATGTGTGTTTTGTGTTCTGGCATTCTGTGTGCTTTTGAGTCCTACTTAAAGATAGTTTTGGCGGATTTCATCTGTCTGAATAATTATCTCTCTCTATGTTATCCCAATTTGTCTGACCAACTTTAGCTCTTTACCTGTGCTTTTTCCCTTACCATGCAAGATGAAACATGTGCCAGTTGAGGTCCATTTGTTATGGTCTCACACATCCATTCACTGATCATTTGGTCTGTTTCTCAAGTCAAGTCCCATTGTGATTTGGCAGCCAGTTATGTTGAGTTTTCTATTTGAATGCTTTATTGTGAAAGCGATTAAGGAGGAACGCCTTGTGGGGCTCCTTCTCGACCATGGATAACTTTTAAGGGTTTAGTATGTTAAAAAACATCCTGGTCATTAAAATAAAAGATATTTTTCATCTCTGAAACAGCTGTAGATTTTACTTAGCCTCGTAATTCTTGTTTGTTAGTTTGTTATGACATTTGAGTCTCTTGACCGCGTAAGTTGAAATGAATGAAAGAGGTCCAGATTGGAAAAATCCAGCAAAAATAGGTGGTAGCGAGAAAGTAATGAGGATAGAAATCGAGTGGCAGCCTATCCTGGTATTTAACTCGCAATAACCAAGGTGTAAAGCTTTTAGGAAGATCTTCCCCGCATGTAGTAATCGGGCATCCCCTGCTTCTCTTGGTCACTCCTGTGAAGCTGTGAGTTGATGAGCAAGTGAATGAACCATGTTAAAAAATGATCCTCTTTGTTCTGTTTCATCCCTTCACATATCTTAAAAACCCTTCTGCAGGTTGGGTGTTGGCACTTGATTAATCTAGTTAAAGTCGGGCTGTTCTGTTGAGTGAAGCTGATTTATAGCCTGTTTGGCCAAGCTTCTAAAATCAGCTTATTTTGAGAAGTGCTTTTCTCAAAAACACTTTTTTCAAAAAGTGCTTTTGGTGATAAGAGCCCGTTTGGCTTAGTTGATTTAGAGTAGCTGATAAGCATTAGGTGCTGAAAAACACTTTAAGTGTTGAAGCTGATTTAAAAAATAAGCAGTTACGTGTTTGGATAAAAGTGCTGAAATAAATAATAAGCAGCTGAAGAATTGGGTATATGAAGAATTCTGTTTTTAAAAAAAAGTATTTTAGGGATAGAATAGTAAATATTTTGGTCAAACCTAAAGTGCTTATAAGCTGAAATTTGATAAGTTGGGGAGACCAACTTATGGCTTTTGGCTTATTTTTGGCTTATAAGCACTTAACTTATAAGCACTTTTAATTTTACCAAACGTGTAGATAAGCCAAAAAGCGTTTATAAGCCAGTTTGACCAGCTTATAAGCTTAGCCAAACACCCTCTAACTAGTTTGTGTTTGGCTAATTAATTTGAAAAGCACTTTTGAGCAGTAATTAGTGGTTGGCCAAGCTTTTGAAAACTGCTTCTATGTGTATTTTTCTCAAAAGTGCTTCTCAGAGAGGTGCTTTTGGAGAGAAACTACTTTTTTCTGCTTTTCCAAAACTGCTTCTGCTTCTCCTCAAAAACAATTTTTTTTCCTTCTAAAAGCTTGGCCAAACACCTCAATTTTTTACCAAAAGCACTTGTGGCAAAAAAAAAGCATTTTTGGTCCCAAAAAAAGAGCTTGGCCAAACAGGCTGTTAGATGTAGATTATGCATACCGAAGCCCAACTTACTGAAATAAAGCTTCAGCAGGCAAAGCAAGCTTTTCCCTTTGTTCTTTGATCTTTAGTGTTTAGATACCATAAATTCCTGGAAGTCAGTTCGTCAGTGTTGCACTTGGATTTTTTTTGTTCTAACATGATGACTTTAACAATGATATCCAAAAAGATGTCTATGCTTACTGAATTAGCCGGGTTTAAGGTTTTTGAATGTTATTTCCTACTCAAGTAAGGGAGGTACTGCAAGATATTGCTAAGATGTGCGAAAATGATGGGATGAGTAGAGAACTTGAGCATTGAGGAAATCATACCTTTATCTAAGCAGCATTGTCCTGAGATTTATGCTCTTTAAGCAGAAAGTTGATGTCCAAAACCTGAGATCCTAATGTTGGAAGTGAATTTGAGATATTTGCACCTGTAGACTCGAGAAATTTTGAGTATCAATTTGTAACTAATGCTGCACTAGTTTAAATGTTTTTCACCTCAAGATGGCCTGAAATACTTACAAGTCAGCTTCTAACTATGGGCTTAAGAAACATTGAAGAACATTTTTTTTGTAGTCACTCAATTGCTCAGTGTCTCCTCTGGATTCTAAAGGTGTTAAAATTGGACCAATTCAGGATTGAATAGGACCATAAAAAATGGAGGTTGTATAGTGTGAAAATAGAGTAAACTTTAGCCGCTTGATCATCTTTAGGAGCTCAAGGCCTTCGACTTTGTTGTTCACATAGTTTCTTTTTTGATAAAGTTATGTATACATAGTTTCTTTTCTGATAAAGTTGTGGTGTTTACATAGTTGAACCACCCATCGACATATGTGATAATATGCATTTAAAGGAAAGTAAAAAGAGGGAGGTCAGAATGGAGTATAGTTACGTCCTTTTTGCGGGGTGATGTGTAGTATTCCATTTGGTGGCGTTAACAGGGGATCAATGATACTATCTTATTTTAAAAATAAATTGCTGTGGGAAGCTATATACGAGTTGAAGCCAAGCATGCATGACCACGATCATACAGCACCCAAATGCGAAAGTTTTATTTCTGCAGGTTCAGGGGTAGTCAATATCAATTGCTCTGGTGTGAAGTGACTCTGTACATTGATCCTCTGGTTGATTGCATATTTCTTGTGTTTATCATTTCTTGCTTTACATGGTCGTGCTCTTTAATTTTTTTTTTATGTGATGCTGACATAAGCAACAATTGAATGTGCTAGAATTATCTTGATATTAGTTTTTCATGAATGCTATGTGTATCATCTAATCATCTGAGGTGTTTTTTGTGCAGTATATTCCTGGGACGAAAATGGTCTTCCCTGGGTTGAAGAAGCCACAGGAGCGTGCAGATCTTATAGCTTATCTGAAGGAATCAACTGCATGAAGATCTCTTTGGAAAATCATGATACTTTTGCTAGTGGCCTAGAGTTGTATCCAATGGTAGCCTTACACATTTTATATTTTTAAAGTCATCCTTTAGCCGATCAAATAACACCACATACTTTATCATGTCATTCTTCTGGTTGAGCAAGCCAGTCTTGAGGAATTTTGTCAAGAGTTTGTTATTTGAAGTCTTTTCAAATCTTTACGTGCTCATGAATGTGTTTGGAGCCAGTTCGTTGTGAACAGCTTACATATCTGGTGTTCCTGTGTTTTATCCTTCACAAGTTGCTCTGTTGGTATTTTATTCAAAAAAAAAAAAGGATTCTTCTGACACTATCTGGTCATAGACTAATTTTCCCCGTGGCTGTTCAAGTGTGTTTCTGGGTTTGAATAGGTGGTTATGTTGTGAAAAGATGGGGGGAGTTGTACCTGTGAACAACTAATTTTTTGAGTCCGAAATTGAAATGTTACCTTTTTGGATATAAAATACATTTATATAGTTAAAAAAAAGGTTACATTTCTACATAAAATGCAGTATTATACTGCATTTTATTAAAAAATTATTTTTAAGGGAAACGTAGTATAATATTGTGTTTAAGGAAAACGTAGTATTATACTGCATTTCCCTATAAAATTGGGCCCACCAATAATAAGAGTTTTGCAGGACTGCAGAGAATATTTGTTTTTTTAGTGTAAAACGTATTATAATACTACGTTTTACACTGAAATGTAGTATTATACTGTGTTTTATACTACTTTTTGGACCCACCAATAAGTATTCTGCGGATAACTGACATAACAATAATTCAAATATATAAAACGCGATATTATACTGCGTTTTACATAAAAAAAATTCTACATCCCGATCTCGGACTTACCTTATTTAAAGGCGTTTGATTTTTATGAAAATCCATTCAAAACTTTCTTTCAAACTTTCGTTCATACTTCTCTCTTCTTCTTATNGGGTGGTGAGGTTGTTATGGAGAATAACTCTGTGAGGTATAGCTCACCTCCACAGTGTCATGTTAAATTACCGCTTATAATGGAGTACGATAAATTGATATCGTTGTTACGTAAAAAAATGAGTGTGGGGAAACGCTCGGTGAACCTTAAAGTAACCGGTAGATTTTCGTATTCAGTGACTCCGCATGGGTTTGCTTATTATTCTGAGTTTAACATCGAAGATGATGAAACTCTTAGAGATTTTTTGCGAATTCCGGATGAATACAAAGAATTTATTGTAATAAAATTGTTGGAAATGTACGTTAAGGTTGAAGAATAATGAGGGTGTGCATAGTAGGGATAACCGGGTGGTTATTCTGGAGCAATTTTTGCCGGACAGATTGCTGATGAAAGAGCTTGCCTTGATTTAAACTTGTCACCACCGGCGAATGAGCAGCCACAAAATAATTTTTCGACTTTATTAATCCACAAGACGACTGGTAAACTTCAATTTTCTACGCTTTAGCGATGTTTATTTTATGTTTTAATTGGATTCTGTATTAACACTCTTATTTTTCATAGGGGGTACCGTCCGGATATGAATTTTACAAGTTATGATCCCGCCCCTAGTTGGAATATGCGTAGTTCTGGTGTATTGGACCACGGTGGTCCATTCGGGAGTCATCACCAACAAGAAAATATCCATCATGGAACGTCAACACAGTACGACTTGTAAGTAAAATGATATAACTGTATGTAAAGTATTTATCTGGTTGGGTAGCTTATCATTTTGTTCTTTTTGTGTAGTGAAAACGAGCAACTTGATTTTCCTGACCTCACACAGTTGCCCATAGACGACGTACTGACTCGTGATTTGGCAGATGCGCAGAGTCAGGAAGATGATAGTGATTATGACAACAATGCCGATGAGTCTGGAGATGACACACCCTTCCATGATGAGGATGATGACGAGGAGGAAGTGGATGCCGAACTTGAACTGACGAGGGAGCATGCTCCTCCACCTCCTGTTAGATCAAGAGTGTACGAGTCTCACGTGCCCTTTCATGAGCGAAATATTCCCTACCTTGATAATTTGCCAAGTATACCGGACGAGGATGCCCTCACAAGGGATGATGATGAATTTTGGTCAACGATGTGGGATGAGTCTAGACCAGCGGTGCTTGCAAAGGGCATGTATTTCCCTGATAAAGCTCGCCTAATCAGGGCTGTAAAAATCTACAACGTAAGAGAGTGCTGTGAGATGACGGTAAGGAAGTCAACTACGGAGGTATACAAGGTTGTATGCCGTAGAGACTTTATGGGTTGTCACTGGATGTTGCGTGCCAGCAAGAAGAAATCAGGTTTGTGGAAAGTGGGTAAATTTATTAGCACTCACAGATGTGAAATGGGTACATTCACTGAGAATCACTACAATCTGGATGTAGACTTGATTTCTCTTGTCTTGATTTCATATTTGGAAGTTTCCATTAGGTTCAAGATTAAAAAGTGTATTGCAGCTGTCTACCAGGAGTATGGTAGTACTATAACCAAAAGAAAGGCATATCTCGGTCGCAAACGTGCCTTTGAACTTATTTATGGCGACTGGGATAAGTCTTTTTCATCTCTGCCCAGGTACATGGCCACACTACAACACTTTAACCCCGGGACTGTTGTTGAATGGAGGTGTGAGCGGAGTCCGGACAGACCCGAATATAATTTTAACTATGTGTTCTGGTAATTTAAACCAGCAATTGACGGTTTTGTGCATTGTCGTCCTGTAATTTCCATAGACGGTATTCATGTCTATGAAAAGTATGATATTAAGCTTTTGATTGCAGTAGATGCCAACGGACAAGTATTTCCACTAGCTTTTGCCATTTGTGCCAACGAAAGCGAAGAGACATGGACGCTTTTTTTAACCACTTGAAGCAGCACGTTGTCAAACAGCGTTTAGGTATTTGTCTAATATCTTATCGATATGGTGGTATTTTAAGTTCTGTACGGCACTTGCATGAATGACAGGAACCCTATGCATACTACTGTTACTGTGTGAGGCACCTGAAGGCCAATTTCCAGAAGAAATATCCTGACAAGGCCTTGCATGATTTAATGTGGATGGCTGCAACTAAGCACCAGCAGTGCAAATTCATGAGGCGCATGGAAGCGATCCGGTAGTTAGATCCACGAGCCTATACTTGGCTGATGGGACATGAGCTTCACATGTGGACATTGCATGCTGATGGCAGCAGACGATGGGGAGCCCTGACTATAAATGTGTCGGAGTCATTCAACAGCTTGTTGAAGTCTGCCCGTGGATTGCCTGTCAGTGCCATGGTCCTCATGACATTCAAACAGAGTGCGGAGAGGTTTGTTAAAAGGCATGGAGCTGCATCGGCATGGATGGACAGAGGTGTTCAATTTATGCCAATACTGATGAGAAGATTTGAAAGGTACAAGAGGCGAGCACATTGGCATTCATTTTTACAGTACGATCACGACCGGGGTATTTTTTAAGTTAAGACCGCTATACGCGGACACCGGGGGAATAATCTGCAGACGGTGAATGAAGCCAGCAGGTTGTGTTCATGTGGGAAATGGACCATCTACCACATGTCGTGCGCACATGCCTTGAAGTGCTTTCAACAAGTTTGTTTAGAGGCAACCAACTATATTGATAGGCAATACAGTGTTGCTACATGCGTAGACACGTATAGTGAGCAGTTATAGCCATTAGGTGCTGAGCATTATTGGCCGCCGGAACCTTTTAAGATGGTGTGTAACAAGGACTATTTGCGCAAGCTGCACGTGCAAAAGAGAATGCGTATACGGAACCAAATGGATGTTGGTGACACCGTTTATGTGCGTAAATGTGGCATATGTTCGCAAACAGGACACGACCGTCGTAAATGTCCTTCAGGTGGTGTGCGTGGCGGTGGTAATCCAGCTTCTGGTGCAAGTTCGTCGAATGTACCCACTATCAAGGAAACACCTAGTCTTTTGTTTTCGTATTTTTTTTGTAATACGTGTCTGTACTTGTGTATGTTGCAATATCTATCAAATAAAATTATGTTCCGAGGTCTCGTTACATTTTATTTTTTAACATGACCTTTTGAATTGGGATGCTGATATGGTTGTTCAAATATTAAACTTATTGGTGTTAGTAAAGAATACCAATCTAAAAATTAAAAAAAAACTATAAAATCAAGACATCCTTTATTATCCTTCTTAAAATTAAATATGTAAAGCGTGGTATAATACTATATTTTGTGAGTTGTCTTGTCGTTCTGAAAAAGCTAAAAACCATGTGAAAAAGCTGTTTTGTTCCAGAAAAATTAAAAATGTAAAGCGTGGTATAATACTACGTTTTGTGAGTTGTCTTGTCATTCTGAAAAAAACTATTTCGTTTCAGAAAAAATTAAATATGTAAAGCGTGGTATAATACTACGTTTTGTGTGTCTATAAAGCGTGGTATAATACTACGTTTTATGCGAAATTTTGCCTATAAACAGGCGCATTCTAATTATTTTCTACACTTAACAATAACCAATAGCAAATATTTTCATAAAAACAAAGTTTCTCTTTAAGAAATGTCTCAACAACCCCTTTATGTCCCAAGGTGCGAGTGCGGGAAAAAAAATACATGATGTACGATTGTTGGGAAGAAGCTGGACGCCGCTACTGGGCGTGTATGAACAAGTTTTATAGGCAACCCGACGAGCCTCCATGCAATTTTAAGGTATGGATTGATGAACCCTGTCAGCAGAAATACTACAAAGGCCAGTTGTATTTTCTTCATAATTTGTGTACAAGGTACCGGGAAAGAGAGCGTCAATCCAAGCAAGAAGTTGAGGATTTGAAGGCGAAACTCAATGAGGTGGAAGAAGAAAAAAAAACTGGAAGACCAACTCAAGTGGTTGGAGCAGAGAATACTAGGCGGTCGTGACTAAATAATGTCATGTACGTGTTGAGCGTCGTAGTGTATCTTTATATTTCCCTTGTCAAGCATTTTTATTAGTTGTACTGTTTGTGTTGTGTTAGGTTTGCTATGTTTGTGTTTGTATTGTACTGTTAAAATAAAATTGTTGTTAAAATAGAATTGTTACCATTATTTACATAATGTAGTATTTACACAAAATACAAACAAAAGTAAATCAATGAGTCCCGCATCCTGTGTGCTTCAGTGCTGCCGCTGGCCTGAGTCGCATCCTTTGTCGTCCGGGTACACTATCAGTATCATCATCATCAAGTCGCTTCTTTATGTGAGGATGTGCAGCAGCATCGACAATACAGCTGGCAGGATCGGTAGAATGGTCGTCGGGCCGTCAGCAACCTACAAAACAATTACTAAGCTTAGCATGTGAAAATGTATATTAGTATTGTACGTGTTAA